TTTGATTCGCTAATTTTTTTATATCTCTCGTTTGATTTTTTTTTTTTTTTTTGTTTTTTTTTTCTATTTTTTTTTTTTTTTTTTTTTTCTTTTTTTACAAAGCTACAAATACTTTAGAAATGAATTTTTATTTTTCAGTTTCGTCAAATCTTTTTCAATCACGCCCGTTTGTAGCCACCCGAAAAAAGCTGTGTTTCTTCCTTTTTAAGGTCTCTACTGATCACCTATTTGATAACCTTGAGTCTGACAAAAGAAATAATTGTTTTGGAAAAAGGTCTGAAAAACGTCTTGGATTTTGGATCCAAAAATCTGTACGAATCCTGTTAGATAGACTGCTTGAAGTCCACCTGTCCCTTTAAATTCCGTCGCATTCTTATCCCAGCCTGGACGTTTTTCAAATTCCAGACTTTCCATTACTTTTTGTTGGCTATACTGCGCCGGACGCTGGTGCCTGATCGTCGTATGGGGTCCACGAATGCAGCGGACAAGTAACACAGACTACTATCACAACCAATCAAAACTCAGTTGTTTTTCGGACCTTTCGAAACTAATCGTCACTAACCCGATTTGATTCGCAAAGGAGTAACGCGAAGCACAGCTGTTGAATCTGGTATATATCTCTCTAGGCAAACTTAGTCGGTTGTTTTTGAGGCCGTTCGCTTTTGACCATAATTCTCAACGGCAGATAACTTTTGCCGTTGTGATTTTTATTTATGTATGTATATATTTAACAGAAAATTGAAGCAATTAATTTTGGTCCATCAGCTTCGAAATATTTCGATCGATTTAGCTCTTGAAGAGCTGGATCGATGGAAGAGACCATTTGTATTGCTTCGCACTTCGCAGACGATTTTGTAAGTCATATGCTCTCCAAATGCGAGGAAATGCTCTTTAGCTGAGGCTTTTTACCGTCAAAATCTATCGGTAATCATGATTTCATGTTACACGAGTGTTTCCACTGCTCTACCTTTTCCTAAGCTTCCGGGGTTCTACGAGACCAGGAGCCGATGACGAGACAGATATTTTCGAGTCCAAAAGAAATATTTTCCGATTTTCATCGGCTCACGATATTCACTCAGTTCTCAGATTCGAATCTGCTGCCATGTTCAAAGCCGAACCGCGGTTATCTGGATGAGTGGCTTTGATTTGATGGGTGTATTCGCATAATTAAAAAATGCTATGAAACTTTACCATGATGTCTGAACAGTTAAATTTACGCCTTTAACACGTCAATTAATATTGTGGTACCTAAGTTTTTAAGCCTGTGGTTGTGTTACACATAACTCTAGGGTTCTCAATTCTTCGTTCAAGATTTCATTTTGCTTCTGTTTTACAAGAATTATGCAACAATGACATGTAGCGGCGGTACTATAGTGCCAAAGAGATTTTTTCTTGTTATACCTCTATTTTGTTTTTTCGCAGACCGCGCGAAAAGGTTTAAATTCCTTGTTTTTTGTCTTTTTTTTTTTCTGAACGTCTTTATTTCTTTCCGCCGTGTCTTTCAAAAACCTTTCAAAACCTTTGAACATGTCAATCACGCATCAAGAATCGACAATATAATGAGTTCATGTTAAATCATGAAAGGCTCTATTATTCCATATTAAACAAAAGCTGACAACACTTACAAGAGAACGAACACACAAACTGAGCAGTTTGGTGGAAAGCTCACATTGAGAAATTTCGGTCTCAAATTTAATTGAAGTTTATTTAACTTTAAAGCCCCGGGGGGGGGGGGGCCCCCCATAGAAAAACGACGGGGTGCCCCGGCGTCCCGCTTGGGGGTTAAATTTTGGGTTTTTGTTCTCACTTGGGGGTTTGCGGGAAAACCGCAATTTTTTTAGCCCGCCAGGGGCTCTTTTGGGGTCCCGGAAAGAATTGAACTTTTTTGACAATGCCTTTAAAAATTCTTTTTAGAAAACAGATTGCGAATTTATGTTCTTTATATATTAAAATGCCGCCAAGGTCTCGTTTAGGGTTCCGCGAAGAACTTGACATTTATGACAATGCCTTTAAAAACTACTTTTAGATAAAAGCATTCGATGATTATGTCTTTATATCATTAAAACTCATTGCATGTCGTATTTGTGTGTTTTTAAGCGGTCCCTTTTAGGGGTCAAAATTTGCTTAAGCCACGCCCAGATTGGTCTCCTTTAGGGGTCACAAAAAGCTTGAGCCACGCCCAGATAGTCTCCTTTAGGGGTTAAATTCAAAATTTCCGACGAGCATCCCCGTCTGTTTCATATGGGAGTCCCCCCCCGGATTTAAAGCTTAAAATTAAGTATTAAAATCGATCATATGCAATTACCCATTCAATAGATGTCTATCACCTAACACTCGACGCCACGTATTGAAGTGAATTACTGTATTGAAGGTTTAGTTTATTGTAAATTTGCAAAATTCAAAAACTCCATGTAACCCAAGGAAGAAACAATAGGCGAAAAGATTACAATAAGTGAAAGTATAGGGTCATACTGTTATGATTTAATTCAAATTTAGAAGGATTTGTTTGGGGATCATCAGAGCTAAAACCGTGCTTATAGCCCACTCAAAAACTCCAGGAAATTTCGTTTGTTCCGATTATCTCGGCACCTCCCATAATTTCGGTTATTGAGCATTTTACCTACTATCTGTTTTCCCACTGGCTTAGAGTCTACTATTATGTCTGGAAGTCAGCCCAGCCCGCAGACTACGCCAGTTAAGCTATCAATAGCGCGCCCATTGGATGATTTCCAAGTGCAACGTCAAGGTGAATTCCGTGCAATGGTGCGTTTGGCGCTTTTTCTTCAAAACAATGTATAATAAAACAGTTATTAGATTCGGTTGTTGTGATAACCGGAATAATCAAGGTTCTAAGTGTTCCTTGGCTGATAACATAAATCAAATTTATTGTACTATTGCAGGAGCAGCAAAAGTTACCATCTTCTCGACCATTATGTGGCTTCTGTTGACAATCTTATTTCAATTTGTTTTGCCTAGTCCGCAAGGCCTCGTTTTTGTCCATGTTTGTGGTGCCGTGTTTATGATACTTCCTCCTCTGAATTGCATAAGAGTATTGCTTTGTATCCGTCGTCATAACGCCCATCTGGTTGTTGCTGCTCCGTCTCAGATGACAAAAGTATTTCAGCAGAGAAGAAAGTAGCAATTGACATAGCCTGCGAGCAAGCTCTCCTATTTGGGCAAGCGAAGCGAGCCTCGCGAGTTCTCGCGAGACTCGTTTCACTCGCCCAAATAGGAGAGCTTGCTCGCAGGCTACAATTGACATGTGCATTATCACTGTCTCGCTTTTCGCTTCTATCTCGCCCGGTATGGTCATGATGTTACTTCAAATCAGATATCCTGGAATTCACTCTATTCTGCATCCTTGGAGTTTTACAATGTCGTCTATTACCTCCTCTATTAATCCGGTAATTTATTTTGGGCGGAATAAGAACTTGAGAAGAGCCTTGAAATCCATAATGAACCTTTAATGGGGCGGGTTCCGCTGAGACTGAGGACCAGGGCGGAAAAAGGTTGGGCGGTGAAACGAGCGCGTCCGAGCAAAAAGGTGTGATGCAGTGGACTGGGACTCTGCTTAGAAATGTCGCTTGTTTTCGACTTCTGTCAGGGCTTGCGTTATGATGTGGTTTGTACATTAGACACTGCCGCTGTCACTGAATTATGGCAACTTGATTTGTTTTCTTGCACTTCTTCCTCGTTCCTTTGTGCTGGTACGCTGTCTCGGAGAGGCAAATGTTGCTATTTTTTGCGGGAGGTTTAGTTGGAGTAGACAAACATCTCTTTCAAAGGGTTTCTCTTATTACTTCCATGACTCTACCACTGAATTATATTTTCGTTCTCCTACTCGCCAATGTCGATGTTATTCCAAAACAAAAACAACTAAGTACTGTCTAAAACACGAAGGAAAATCTCATCTATGTCATCCATGGCAAAACGAAAAGACAGCAGATCGTGCTTCATAACTAGATGACGTGTATTTTATAAATGCGTGCAGCTCGTGCAAGGTGAAATTATGCTAATTTCAATCACCATCATCCTTCTTTTTAATTTTGAAAAAAACATCTCATACGTCTTTCTGTTTCTTCGAAACTTCAAAATTAGTTTCCCCTCAGTTTTTACTGTTTATCTTGTTTTGTTTTAGAGAGAAAAAAGGAGAAAAAACCTTACAACTAACCTCACTAAATTTTTGTTTACTTGCGGTTGCCGGATTTGCGACGCATTGCGCGAATCGCCATGGCGCGTTGCACCCGAGAAGCAAAGTTTGAAGAAGTACAGCGCCACTATATCAATATATATCAATCTAATTTTTTGTAATGTTGTATAAAATTTATCCCCCTTTAACATATGTAGAAATTGAGGTTAAGAAGTGTTAAGCTTTTGCAAACGAAACGGCGAAAGACGATTAGGTGATATTTAGTGTTAGGAGGAGGTATTCAACACTTTCAAATTAAACTCAAATTTTGGCATTATACGACCAACATGTTTGACTTATAGACGTACAGACACAAACATATGAAACTGTTTATTGATATTGTTATGAAACGAATTTATCTATTTAACATTGTAGCCTGAAATTACAGAAAGAAAATAGGATTTCCGGTTTGCAAAAAGGAAAATTTCGCCGGCCTTCAAGCGCACCGGAAGCGCGGAAAGAGCGCTCGTGCCAGTCCTACTCCGCATCACACATTAAATGAAGAGCGGAGCGCTCGTTTCACCGCCCAACATTTATCCGCCCTGCTGAGGACTGCCCTGAAGCGCTCCAAAGCGGCTATTTGGCAAACTCGTGTGAATAAGATATTGTTTAGCAAATTGATGTGACACGTCTTAAGACTGTGTACTTATTTCATGAACAGTTACAGTAATCACCGTGGACTTCGTATTCACGACGCTTGACCGTGAAAATGTGGTTATAACTTGAATGTAATGATCCTTAGGATCAACTTGATGTGACAAACATACTACAATAGAAGCCTTTCCTATAAGCAACCTCTAGGGTTTTCTCTTAACTTTACTTTTTGAGTAGTGTGACATTGCGTCTTTGAGACTATGGACCTGTTCCAGAAAAAAGAGATGAATTTGCGACCCTCTTCCTGACAACAATTGTAAAACTGGGAATCCTGTTTCTCTGGCCGGCTCAGTGATAAAGCGACAAGACGAGTGTAGTTGATAGAGAATAATCAGGTAGTATGGAAAAATAGACCCTGTTCCAGTGTTAGAGTAAAGTGAATACCCCTCTTCCAGATGTGAAGGGTAATTTTTATACTCTTTTTCCAGAGTCAGAGGGGCAAAAAAATATACCCTTTTGATCGGCACATATCCTTAAAGCCCACATATGGGATTTCCAGCACCCCATCCCCCCTCCAGGGTTGCAGGTTTAGGTCCTTTGGAAGGGAATATTTCTTGACGTAGAGTCAAGCTAGACGATGCTCGTGATATACACGATGTCGAACAATCACCAAGGTATTTATCTTCTGTCCATTGCTGACAAGATATTGGCAGGTATCCTACTGAACCGCCTCATCCAACATTTTGAGCAGGGTCTCCTCCCAGAAAGCCAGTGTTGTTTCCGCTCAGAACGTGAAACTACCAACATGATATTTGCTGCACGCCAGCTCCAGGAAAAATGCTAAGAGCAACATAGCGACCTCTTTGTGACCTTAATTGACTTGACCAAGGCCTTCGATAAAGTAAGCAGAAGCGGAAATTGGAAGATAATGGAGACGTTTGGCTATCCCAGCAAGTTCATAACGATCGTCCCACAGTTTCACGGTGGCTCCTTTCCAGTTACGAACTTTTTTTTTTCTTTTTTTTTATTTTTATAATATGTCTGTTTATTTCCTATAAAACTACAATTACACAGTGCATACTTACTATTACACTAAGAATACTAAAATAAACTTACTTACACACTTACGCAGTAACCAAAGCATAACAATTACACAGTGCCTACTTACTAGTACACAGTATCTT